CATTGCTGGGGAGCTGTTGTTCCTCTTTGGGAGTGTGCTTTCCGTTTGAGTCTTCATACTTCCAGAGTTCTTTCGCTGGTTCCTTCCCATCTGGATCAGTTGTTCCTTCTTGCCTTTAGATATTCGTTTGGATAATGACATGCCCTGTTTAGTCTCTGAGCCAGTAGGTGGTGTTTGTGGGTGAGATTCGACCACACCCTTTATGATGAGTCAGTAGATGCAGTAAAAGGGTGTGCAGAATGACCTCCCTGTCAGTAGGTGGTACTTGCTGGGAGGAGCGAGCTGCAGTGCTGTTTTTGGGTCCTGTAGTCAGCTCTTGTTCCCCTAGAGAGGCCCTTTTGTGCCTTGGGTGGTGGGGGGGGGGGCCTGGGACTTCCAGGTGTGTCCTTATTCTCCACCTCAGTGAGGGCAGGACCGGGAGTGAGTCTGGGTGGGGCTGGGTTGGATAATGCTGCCCTCAGGCTCCACAGCTGCTGTTAGCAGGGGTCAAAGATCTGCTCTTTGCTTCTCTGCAAAGCTGCCAGGAGGGACTAAAATGGCTCCACTCAGCTGAAAGTCTGGGCTTCGGGGGTGGGGCTGTCCAAGACCCGCACTCTGGAGCAGGTCTCGCCCCCCTCCACCCTCTCCCTCTCCGTCGCCTGTCCCAGGCCTTGGCCCGCAAGCGGGACCTCAGGCCGATAGATCTCCCCTGGCTGTGACGTGGGCCAGGAGGTTCTTTGCGCAGGATCGCAGCCTGAGCTGGGTGCACAGCCCTCTTTTGGGAGGAGGGTTGCTGCTCAGGACCGCTGATCTGCCCCTGAAGGCGCACACTCCCCAGTAGGCTCTTTCACAGATCTCCCTTCTGTGCCCCTTCTGACCCTGCCAAGGGGAGGGGTGCTGGTCTCCAATCACCTACAGGGTGCCCAAGCTGGATCGATTTCACTCCGCCTCGGGATTTGCCCCACTCTCCTGGAGTCCCCAGGCAAGTAGTACCTGGGAGGGCTGGCGGGTAGGGAGCTCGCAGTCTGAGTATCCCTCAGTCTGCTGTAGGGTCCCAAAAGGAAAGGTCCCGTTCCTTGGAGATGCTTCCGTGTGATGGCTAAATTGTCTCTGGGCGTGCACGGGTAGGGAGGGGGAAGGAGAGAATGGAGCACTATGGCGTCTGCTGCTAGGCTGGGGTCTGCGCCCAGGGAGGTGCCCCGAAGGGGCTGGGAGCCCGGCGCTGAGTCCACAAGAGGCCACTGCTCACTGGTGGCAGCCGTCTCTGGGCTGGTGTGGGCAGGTGTGTCCAGCCACTCAGGAGCCACCCGCAGTCCGAGATGCAAGGGAGGGGGAAGTGAACCGCTCCACCCACCCTTGTCGCTCGTCTCCAAGCCTCTTGGGACCTTTCTCCTTCCAGTTCTCCTCCGCGACATCTTCCCGTGGAGTCTCCTGTAGTTTCAGGCCCCCTTCCTTCCGACCCTCATCCGATCTGTGTTTCTCTGCTAGTTTATTTTTTTCTCTCTCTTCTAAAATCTGTCTTTTTTGCAGAGACACTGACAGCAGCTTTTCTCCTCCGCCATCTTGGCTCCTCTCTCCCTGGCCATATTTATGGCGCGCTCAGACACATGCTAATTTTATCAGCACTTAAATATTTAAAAAAACAAAAAAACATCATTGCTTTGCTTTAAAAATGTTTATTTAGCTCCTGCTACGTACATGGCACCATGTGTGGCGCCATGAAGAATACACAGATGAACAAGGCATAATTCTTGCCGATGCTGCACTCACAGTCCAGTGTGGGAAATTAGAAATCACATGTACACAAATAACTACCACACAGGGCAGAAAGCACTACATGCCATGAGATTGATACCAATATTATGAGAACCCAGAGGAAGTAAATACTATTTGGGGATGAGAACAAGAGGTTAGAGAAGGTTACCTTGGAACTGCGGGGTTTGAAAATGACCAGTCAAATGCAGACAGGAAAAAATTAAGAGGAAACGGTAACCCAGAAAGACTCCAATTGAAAGCAGAGGCAGGATTTCACTGGCTGTGACGGGGCACAGCGGGAGTCTAGCTGGGCTGCAGTAAGCAGGGCAGGTGAGAGGGGATGGGAAAAAAGGCTGCAAAGATGCATTGGGATCAAGGTGGGAAGGTTATGGTGCCAGGCAAAGACGTTTCCATTTCAATGGGAGTTTTTAAAAGAGAGATGATCTGATCCAAGCTCTGCTTGAGAAAGCTTCATCTGGTAGCCATGCAAAGATGGCTTTACAGGAGCAGGGACTGAGGGAAGGAGGCCAGTTTAAAAATGATTACAAGGTAATGAGGCAGTGACAATGAGAGTGAAGCACTTGCAGGTGGAAGATGGGGACAGAATTGAGGATTTCGCAATGACTAGTGCAGGAAAGGTGAGGTGAGCGAGAAGATGGTGGCAGTTTTATACCTGCAGATGGAAGGATCCATTCACAGAGCTAGGAACATCCAAAGAGGAAAAGATTTAAGGAAAGGGAGGAGGGAAGCGGTGAGCCTGAGATGCTGGCTGACGTCCAGGTGGGGGGTCCAGCAGGCAGTTACAGTTGGGTGAGAGTTGGGGGCAGAGGTCAGAGCTGGAAACAGACAAGAAAGCTATCCATGCAGTGGTGACAGCTGAAACAATGGAGCAGGTTGAGATGGCCCCATCTCACCATGGAAGTGTGCTCTGAAGTACAATTCTTCGGCCACATTTTCCTTAAATATGAAATTCTCGCAGAAAATTCATTAAGTATGATGATGCATCATTTGAAAAGTGCTGTTTCTCTTTGTGTGTTCTCCTTTTGCTCCTAGAAACTATTTCTTCAGTTTTGTGATTATAAGCAGGAAAGGTACCTCCACTGTGGAGGGTCATTTTGAAAAGCTTCACTCCAATGAGTTTTTAAAAGTTTTCATTAGTATTTATTTTGAAGCATTTTCTGTAATAAAATTATTTCTCTGAAGATTTCAGAAAAGCTATCACTGTACCTTACCTCATCACATCTAAGAGTTGGGAAAGGAACTGAGAGGTCATCTCCATCCATCTCATTTCACAGATGAGGAAACCAAGGCCCAAATAGGCAAAGGACTTGCTCAGCAGCTCACATGGCACGATGGCAAGGCTGGCCCACCAGCGAGGGCAGTGAGTCTTCCTCCCCTCCACAGCCACGTCCCTGGGCACCCAGCTACCATCAAGATACACACACACAGAGCTGGGTGGGAAGACAGACAGGCAGGCCAGAAGGCAGGCAAGCGAGAGGGGTTGGGAAAAACACACCTATATTTTAACTTTCTTTTTCAACTGGGGAAAAGGAGAAAATGGCTTGTAACACATTTTTTGGACCCCTCAAAGCCTTACATATCTGAAAAGAAAATTACTTTGGCTTTCTTGAAACATTAAGTTGCACTTAAAAAATATCAGACTATGTTATGACACATCACATTCAAGAAGCTTAACAGTCAGCCACAACAGAAGTGACGGTACTTTGGTCGGTCTGTGTGTACACATGGAAAGGTAGTGTGCAGGGAAACAAGATCAGTAAGAATCAGTCCTTGGATTGTTTTCTCCATCACAGAAGAAAAATGCCCATGTTAATTCCCTTTCAGAAAGTTAAAGGTGATCTCCTTAAAATGAAGTGCCAAATACATCCATTTCCAGAGAAGATGGAGGAAAAAAGACAATTTCTTTTCAAATACGTAAGTCACAAATATGTGGGCAGAGTTCTCACGAGCCAAGTCACAGAACATTAGTTTGACCACATCGGCATCTTCCCCAGTAACCTAGAAATACACATCCTATTGGTTTTATAATTAATGATTCCCTTTAATAATAAAGGCTGCTTTAATACTTTCCCCCAGGCCACTAGAGTCTTCCAGCAACACATCTTAACATGACCTATCAGATTTTCCAAAAAATCTTCTTTCTATAGAGAATGTAGGCGATGAGCACCCAGACTGCAGTGGCGACTATGTTCTGAGTTAGATGTTCCTTGTGCGACTGGTTATCCTCCAGCTTCCACTGAAAGGGGAAGTAGTTCTCAAACACCTCGTGGCCTACATACACCAGAATAGAATTCATTCCTTCAGGAGAGATACAGAAGCCACTGTTATTCCTGAGTTATGTCTGACCATCTATTTAATTCTTGAAATTAGTTCAGTGAAAAAAAACAAGAAGCATGCACTTGTATTATCGGCTACTGCCAAAAATAAGTGATGCATATCTTAGGTATTTAAGTATAAACTACATTAAAAAATTATGAAAAAATATTCATTTTATAACAATGTAGTTCTTGAATTCTAAATCTGAAAGGAAAACTAAAATTATTAACTTCTGTTTTGTAGACAGAAAATTTGAGGTCCAAAGAATGTAACTGTTACTAGAAGCAAAGGGCTGGAAATGAGTCACTGAAATCATTTAGTCTATTTCTCAGTCCTCAGGTAGAACTGCATCTAAAGCCTTCCATTTATCTCTTTTATCACCTTTTAATACTTCTTCTAATGCATAATCTTTAAGGTAGTGCATTTACATTAGAAAGAAAGCATAGCCCCAATATTAAGTTTTAGAAACTGTATAATATGCTTGAATCATTCCTGATACTCCACAATTTGGTATCGCCTAAAGAAACAAGTGGTGCTCATAACCTGTCATACAATGACTCCACACCCTAAGTGGATAAAAATGGGGTGATCTGCTCCAGAAGGGGCCAGTGATGGCCAGTGTGAGCTGGGGCAGCATAGCCCCTGCTGCTTCCTCCCAGAGTTTGCTTCTTAGAAACATACCACCCAGGGCAGTGGCTCAAGGCCCAGCACTGAGAATGCTGGGGGTCTCTGGTCAGTCCACCCGGTCACCGTCACCCACTCTGGGGTTAGAGGCAACTCACCTGGATAAAAGAACGGGGCTCCTGTCCACAGCCCCCTCACATCCACAACCGGGTACAGGACCAGCAGGATGAAGAAGGCAAAAGAGCCGAGCGTGGTGACGTACGATATGGACCTGGGAGGGGTTGGAGGAGGCGTTACAGCGTCCACAGGGAACACATCCCATTCCAACATGAGAAACTGTCAACACCGAAAGGGCACTTTTTTCCTATACCTACCAGAGGTTTTTGTTTACTGGAATAAAGCCTTCGTTTTCAGAACCTTTTGTCAAAGCAACAGAAATGAGCCCCTATAATGCAGAGGGGAAGGATGTTAAAGTTTCATATTATTATCTCACAAAACAATGCGTTTCAAGACCAATATATTCGTATTAGTTATTTAATTGTTTAGGGAGGGCTTCAAATTGTGCCTTATATTTTACCCTTTTAACTGGAAACATATTTTTAAAATGTATAACTAACAGATATTCTCTTAAAGTACCTTTCCAGTATTCCTCTGAGTTGATGAGGGTAAACTAATTGATAAGTTACAATGAATCCTGAGAGGAAATACAATTGCAAGGTTGGGGGTAAGATGAATAGTTGATCAACCTTACAATTCTTTTTTCACATATAAATCTCGACATTGATGTTTGAAAACCTGTTACTACTTGCCTAGACTTTCTGATGTCTCCCCATTCCTGGCTGGCTATTTGATGAAAAACACTATCTTAATGTATAAAGACATTTTCCTAAGAAAATAAACCTGTGTGTACACTTAGGTGTAAAGATATGTTCCTCTCTGTTATTCAAGTGAAGGATTTTACCTGTTGTGATGTGGTGACAACTGCTACACCAGTGTTGCCAAACATTTTATTTTGTTTTAAATACATACGCATGTGAAGAAAGGAATTTTAGTGAGGAATGTTGCTTACTTACTAGAATACAACCCCAGGCAGTGAATCTGATCAGGATAGCTTTGGTCTGATCCTTGTAATACAATAGAATTTTTCCTGCCTGTAGAAGAAAACACACTATGACCAAGAGAATCACCCAAGATATACTTTTATTTCATAGTCATCCACTGTCTTAATCACACCACAAACAGATTGACTTGTCGGGCACACTAGATACTGCGTCATAAGGAGGAGTGAAACATCACTCTGGGACCCCCTGACGGGTAGAGAAGGAGAGAGGTCGCCGGGGCCAGGGATGAAGCACGTGCTCAGGGAGAGGAGGTGCCACTGGGCTGAGGTCCAAGCACCAGGTGTCCGAGCAGGAAGAGCTTGGATGGAGTGGCTCACGCAGAACTCGCTGGAAAGAGCAGGAGAGCACAACAGCAGCTCTGTGGGCGCTCGGAAAGGGCGGGGGAGACGGGCACAAAAAGGTACAGGGCAGGGAGGCTCCGCGGGTCTCAGTCCCGGCAGGGGCTTTCTTGCCAGACAGTCCTCCCCAAGAGTGATGAGGGGCCAGCTCAGACCAGCCTGGGAGGTGACCCAGTCTGACAGCACAACGGAAGAGGGGTCGGGACAGGGTGGAATTATCTTAAAAACTGTAAAATATAGATCTTGCATAAAATCCCTCTGAAATTAGTAATTAATTGCTGAGAACATCAAAGGATAGTAAGAAAGTTTTAATAATAATCTTAATAATAGCTGATATTTACGAACACTGTGTATGTGCCAGTTCTTAGAACTTTACACGAATTCACTTATTTAATCGTCACAATGCCTTTATGAAGCAGGTGTCACTAAAGCGCAGAGGGAGATGTAACCCACCCTGGGGTGCTCCGGGCACAAGTGCAGAGATGGGTGCAAACCCGGGCCATGTGGCGCCAGGTCCACACTCGGCCTCGACACTGGACTGGCTGCCCCGTTGGCACAGATTCACCCACAGAGCACAGGCAGGGATTACACGAGTACACGCAAAAGCAGAATACAAACTACAAAGTGCTACAGAGATAAAGGCAGTGTTTCCACATATGAAATTACTCAATCACCAAAATGTGCAGGTGACCCTTGAACAGCGTGGGCTTTAACTCGGAGGGTGTGCTCACATGTGGATTTTCCTCCGCCTCTGCCACCCCAGAGACAGCGAGACCCACCCTTTGTCCTCCTCAACCAGCTCAAGGCGAAGATGACGAGCGTGGAGACCTTCATGATAATCCACTTCCACTTAGTGAATAGTAAATATTTTCTCTTCCTTGTGATTTTAATAATATTTTCTTTTCCCTAGCTTACTTGATTGTAAGGATACAGTATAAAACACATACAACATATAAAATATGTGTTAATAGACGGTTTGTGTTATCCATGAGGCGTCTGGTAGCTATCACTTACGTTTTGGGGGCATCCAAAGTGATACGTGGTTTCCAGCCTCATGGGCGGTCGGCACCCCTAACATCGCGGAAGGCTCGACTGTGCACGCTTGGTCTGCACTACCCCACAGGGAAGCCACTAGCCACATGCGACTATTTAAATTTAAAATTAAACTGAGTAAAATTAAAAATGCAGTTCCTCAGTCTCACTCATCACATTTCAAGTGCTCAACAGCTACCCTGGCTAGGGGCTGCCCCACTGGATAGCACAGATAAAGAATACTGTCATCATCGCAGAAAGTTCTATTAGCACTGCTTTACGAGTTCTTCCCCTTCCTGGTTGGCTCCCTTCAAACAACACTTTCAAACATGAGCAGGGAGGACTTCAGCAAGACAAATCTACACTGCTCAGAGTTGTAATTGCACGTGAGATAACCAAGAATGACTCTGTTGACGCTGGCATAGAATACACATACCCTGAAGCCATGTGAAGTGTCACTGTGGTTTGAAAGTCCGTGTCCCTCCAAAATCCCTATGTTAAACCTCATCGCCAAGGTGATGGCATTTGAAGGTGGGGCCTCTGGGAAGTGATTACATCACAAAGGTTCCGCCCTCATGAAACGGGCTGGAGGCAGCGAGTTCGGACTCCGCTCCTCCAGCTCCCCTGCGTGCGGACGCGACGTTCATTCCCTCTGAAAGACGCACCACGTTCAAGGCTCGACCTTGGAGCAGAGACTGGACCCTCACCCAACAAACTGCTGGCACCTTGATCTTGGACTTCCCAGCCTCCAGGACTGTGAGAAATAAATTTCTGTTCTTTATAAATCACCCAGTCTCGAGTATTTTGTTGTAACAGCACAGACTAAGACAAGTGTACACAAAGAAATGTGACAAATGACACAGAGACTACACAAGGTTACCAACACACCCAAACACTCTGCACACGCCATCAGGGAAATCTTGTATCCAGAAACTGCTGCACCAAGATAAGTCATATAAATAATAATTTTTTTGAGAATGTAAGAATTACTCCCAATTATTTAAATGTGCTGACTTTCAGCAACTTCTAGTTTTGTACAATCTGTTGAACATAACAGAATTTATTAGACCTATACACAGAAGAGGATAGGCTCCCAATTATTTTATTTTAATGAAATGGTCTTTGAATTAGTGATGAATCAATAATCATAAACTGTGAGAAAAACGTATCCTAATGAAACAAACAAATACCTGAACTCCTAAAAAGGCCATCACAATGGAGTTGATGGTCCCTAGGATTCCTTCTGGATCATAGGCCACCTCAGTGTGATAAAGCACCTTAAAGAGACAGAAGAAGAAGGCAGCACTCACCCACTGACCATGGAAATGCACATGAACAACACTTAGGACAAATACAAACTTTAGTACATTCCAGTAGTCAATGGTGTTTTGCTTTTGCTACAGAAATTCATTGCCAACTCACAGGAATTATAGGCAGAATATTCTGGCCAAGAAGATGTGTGGTTGTGACGCTCCGAAGGGAATACAGAGCCCCAGGCACAAGCCACGGTCTAGTGGCAGCCCCTGTGCCCAGCTTGCTGGGCAAACAGAGCCGGGCCCCAGGCTTTGCATGATGCATCCCTGACGAGTTTCACATACAATACATAACACCCTCCTAGTTTTCAGATTTATTCTTTTCGATCGACCCTACTGTAACATTAACAGCTTCCTATCTTCTTTTAAGGCAAATAACATTAAAAAACACATTTGTGTGTTTTTATTATAAAATAAACATTATTGTAGACACTTAGAAATACACAGTGTAGTAGATGCTTCCGTGCACCACTCAGATGCCCCCAACCCTGTCAGGACAGCTTTCCATTCCTCCGGCTGTCAGAAGTATTAATGGCCGAAAGCTCTGTCTGGATTTGTCCTTGACTGCAGACAGCTGCCTCTCCAGGGGTCACTCCCTTCCTGGGCACAGTCCACATCCAACCAGGGATAGAAAGGGCCCAACCCCTGACCTCAGTTCACAATCGCTCTGAAGTGCCATCCCAGCTCCCCTGGAGCCTGGCTGGGGCCTCTGTCGGGGCCGCAGTGCAGTTCGACATCTCTCTCTGCCCAGTGCTGCTCACTCCCCACAGGTATCGACCCAACAAGGACTCCCTCATACACCTGCTGCGCATGAATTTCTGTCTCAGAGTCTGCTGCCAGGAAATCCGACCTGAGACATACAGAGAAGCAACGTACTATTCATTTTATCCAATGCACGCTAACTTTTTTCTTTTTGAGACAGGGTCCCACTCTATTACCCAGGCTGGAAGGCAGTGGCACAGTCATAGCTCACTGCACCTGGGAACTCCTGGGTTCAATCTTTTGACCTCAGCCTCCCAAGTAGCTGGACCTATAGGTGCACCCCACCATGCTTGGTTAAATTTTTAAATTTTTTTGTTAGAGATGAGGTCTTGTTATGTTGCCCAGCTTAGTCTTGAACTCTCTGGCCTCAAGCAATCCTCTCACCTCAGCCTCCCAAAGTCCTGGGATTACACGTGTGAGCCACGATGTCTGTCCCATTCTAACTTTAAAATCCAAAATAATGTTTATATATTGCCACAAAATGAATTTTAAAGTCATCAAGTTAGCTGACTTTTCAAGTAAAAATTAGTTTTCATCACATTTTCTTTCACGGACACACTTTAATGCTGACCAGCTCTTTCTGTCTTCCTTCACTCCTGAGACCCTAAGGCTTCCGCTCCAAGTGCGAGCCGGCCCCACTCACGGTGCAAGAAGGGCGCTGATGCAGGTGATCGTCCCCCAGCAGCAGGCGGTCGATGTAGCCAGCAGCTCCTCCGGTGCAATTTGGATGCTCCCCCAAATCTCCGATGCCGCCGGGGCCAAGATAGCCGCTAGGAGAGTGAGACCGGCACTTAGCCAGTAAGACTTCAGAAGGACTAGTGGTATGTACTGGCAGTTCACGCAGCCCAGTTCAAAGAGCCTCGAACGCGTACCACCCTAAAACACCTCTGGCTCCGGGCACCCTCCCCAACGCACTCTGCCCTGATGGTCCCCCACCCTGGGGAGGCAGAGGCCCAATTTCCAGTCAAAACGACCTCAAATACCACCACAGGGACATTTCTCTGGAAACGTATCAAACTCTTCTCCCATTCAATACAAAGTATGCCTCAAAGAAGAAGAAAGAGTGAAATGGAATTCCTCTGACTTAGTCATTGGAAAGTTGTAAGCCCAGAACCTGGGACTTGGCAGAAAATCACATGCAAAGAGGGGACGACAAGGTTCACTTACGTCGGGCACCCAGGAACCGGCAGGAAGAACGTCAAGCCCAGCCAGATGCTTTCCAGCATCAGAATGAGGAGCCACTGGGGCCAGGAGGACGTGACGTCTCCAAGAGAAAAGCAGCTCCTCTCCTGAGCCGGGGCAGAAAAACAAAACGTCCATGAACTCAACGCAAACAGAATGGGACTAGTGCACAGCATCTGCATGTGGGAGATTCCCACTGATGCCTTTCTGGTAGTAATACAAAAATTTATTTAATACGCATTATGCTATCTAGATGCTCCCTATGAAATACCACAGTAAAACATGAGTTAAAGAAATCAGTGGACAATTCTACTCCTATACCTAAAAGAGTTAAAAACATGTTCACACAAAAACTTGCACACAAGTATACACAGGAGCATTATTCGTAATAGCCAAAAAGTAGAAACAAGTCAAATGTCTATCAATTGATGAACAGATAAAAAAAATGTGGCATATCCATAAAATATTATTCAGCAAATTTGGAATGAAGTGCTGATACATGCAACATGGATAGACCTCCAAAAGTATGATATTATGCTAAGTGAAAGAAGCTACACACAAAAAGCCACGTATTATATGATTTCATTTATATGAAATGTCCAGAGCAGGTAAATTTATAGACATAAAGCAGCCGAGGAGTCACCTAGCGCTGGGGAAGGGCGGCGAGAGCAGCGAGTGACTGCCGTGAGTGGGGCTTCTTCATGCGGTAACGAAAACATTGACAGTTTCACTACTCTGCTAATATACTAAACATCATTGTACACTTTAAACGTGCAAGTTTTATGGTATGTGAATTACATCTCAATAAAGCTGTTATAAAAAAAGAAATTAAAAATAAATTTTTAAAGTAAAAACAAAATGAAATTTAAACTTTTGGAGCTATTCTGGCTGAAGGAAGAAAGGGTGCAGTCTATCTATTCTTGGTGTCTCACCGAACTCCTCACCCAACCGTGCCAGCCCAGGACGTGCCTCCACAGACCCTGGGGACCCACAGAAGGGCTGGGGACAGCTGCTCTGATACGCGAGCTGCTCATCCACACGTGTCCAGCCTCTGCTTCATCTTAAGGCCATCCATAGCCAGAGGCCACCAACACCCTGATGACAGGGCAGAGGAAAAAGTAATAATGACAAAAATGCACTCCAGAAATACACAACTAAGCAATCACTACAGGAAGCACCCAGGGAATCTGGGATTCAGAGATGAATTTGCTAGTTACATGACTGGGAAGAAGCTAGAGAACAAACGCCATTTTATTAGTTTACTGTTAAGTAGCATCCCAAATGGAAGCATTTAAACATTTCCACCAGAATTTTTACCTCTAATGGGGGAAAAGTAACTGTCACCTGGGTAAACTTCACCCAGCAACTACAGGAAGTAATCACAAAAGAGATGAGACTCTGACATACTCCTGACAAAGACGACAGACAAGTAGCCGAGCACAATCCTGTCATTTTCCCACCCCTCACCTTGGCACTTTTCTCAAAGTTGAAACAAGGTCATATAAGCATTTGAATGAGGATATATGGTTTTTTATATATCTTATACCACAAGGAAATTGAAAAATTGGCAATAATGCCCCAAGAGACCAAACTAGGAAACTGGAGGATGGTGACATCATTTGATGGCATCAAGCATGTATGCGAAGGCCGGGCGCGGTGGTCACACCTGTGATCCCAGCACTCTGGGAGGCCAAGGCGGGAGGTTCGCTTGAGGCCAAGAGTTCAACACCAGCCTGAGCAAGAGCAAGACACTGTCTCTATAAAAACAGAAAAAATTAGCCGGGCGTGGTGGCATGAGCCCCAATCCCAGCCACTCGAGAGACTGAGGCAGGAGGACCACTTGAGCCAGGAGTCGGAGGTTGTAGTAAGATGTAGTGATGCCACTGCACCCCAGCCTGGGCAACGGAGCACAACTCTGTCTCAAAAAACATTTAAAAAAAAAAAAAATACATTTGAAACTAGAAGATTTTAAGTGTGCCCAACACAAAGAAATGACACGTTTGAGGTGACGGATATGTTAACTACCCTGATTTGACCATTACACATTCTATACATGGAAAACATCTATACATTCAAAACATCACTGTGAATCCCATAAACATGCACAATTATTACATGTTAACAAAAAATAGAAGAAAAAAGAATGCATGTGATTACTGCATGCCGACAAATCTGTTAAGAGGGTAGATCTCATAATACATGTTTTTTGCCACAATAAAATTGATATAAAGATTAAATAAAAATAACTAAATACAGAGGGGGAAAAGAATGCAGGCAATTAGCAGAAGTACACAGTATTGCACTCAGAACTAAAAAAATTCTAAAAACTATACAGTGATTTTTTCCTTCTTTTTTTAAAAACAGTTTCTCACCAAGGCACAATTTTCAGGCACCGGTTTAGCAAAGAGAAGCTCCAACACAGCAACTACGAAGTAAGTCACTCCCAACCGCTGCAGAACACCGGGAATTCGCACCTTATCCCAAGACACTGCAGGAGGCACAAGTTAGTTAAAGTGTTAGCCATCATTTCTCATCTCATCCCAAGACAATGTTATTTTTTTTCATAAGGGGGATGAAGTACCTATATTACATCTAAGTAAGTCTTTTTTAAGCTCTTAGAGATGGAAAGACACATGGTCAGGAGACATGGCTCAAACTCAAGTTCCAAGAACAAGCCAAAACCACTCGACAAAAGACAGTCAGGGACTTGGCTCAAACTCGGAACAGGAAGGTGCCAGCTGAGAGACTGGGATAAGAACGAGAGTGTCACTCTCAGGCGTGGGGATAAAGCAAGGGCTACCCTTGACCCTGGAGTTCCATCTCCTGGCCCTTCCCATTAGAAACATGGATTCAACTCTCGTGTCCACCAGGAACTTGCAGACCTAACACAAGCCAGTGACTGACTCTCCCGGTCCTACAGGCTACATCAGGCTACAGGACTGTGGCAATGGATGAATACAACCCGATAGAAACCCAACGATGAGTCCCACTGGAAGCAATGGCTCACTTTTTGGAGATCCATCAAATCCACTTTTACAGGAAACAGCATCTGGAAGTAAACTCTATTTCTTCTAGCACCTATAGTCATCCAATAACAGTACTGACTGCCTGAGGGCTCCATTTGGCTACTGTCTAGATGTTTGTGTCCTCTTTTCCTAATGACGGTGTAAGCCCTTTGAGGACAGTGACTCCTGCCCTCCCCGATTCTGACACTGATTCAAAGCACAGGGCTGACACCCTGCCCTCAGCATTCCTGTCTTGCTGCACACCACTGCAGTGAAGAGAAGGAGCTCTTTCCTTCCCGCAGCCCAGCTGGCATGCGAGTGCTGACAAAGGGGGACTCCTGAACTGCCACGCGGTGCTGAAAGGTGATGAAATCAAAATGGCAGGAGGATGAGGTCTGGGAAGATGACCTGCCCTGGCCCCTACTGTGCTCCTCACTACACTCAGATAATCCAGAGAAAGCCTTTCAATCTCATGGCCCCAGACTTTCCTTTGGACAACAGAAGGATTTGAGTAGTCTTAGAGGCTCTTCTCAGGTCTAAAATTCTAACATAATAATAATGCCCAAAGTTATACAAGCATTGCATATACTTTTCTAAGAATTCTTCCATTTGCAGGCACCTTAGATGGAAGAATTACATTTCTTTCAAATTACAACATGCAGTTTCCATATTTCCACCTGAATATATATTAACAGAGGGGAAAAATACTTACATGGACCAAGGCAATAATTGGGATTCACAATGATAATTCCTATACAGATTAATAGGAAACTCCTCCATGCAATTTTCCCCAGCAATCTGAATTTGGAACATCCCCGTTGCAGTATAGATGTCATTGATAGAAAAATTGAAGATCCCATAATAAATACAAACCTAAAGAAAAAATAGCTGTTAATAAGGGGCCATTTCCAATTTTTTGTCTGTGTATCATTAATACTGTATAGTATATTACATAAGAGAAGCAACACATGATTTGTTTAAAGAGGCCAATTACTGAAACAGCATCGAGCCAACAGCCGAGGAAGAAATCAGAACACAGCCCTGCTGAGCCGTGAGGCTTCTGACAGCGCATCTTCAAGTCCTGACTTAGGAGAAAAAGTCTTTAACGGCAAACGAAATTTCCAAAGACAACCCTCCCATTTAGTTATCAGAGAGAAGTGATGATGAAGCTGCTACAATATTGTCTCCAAATAACTAGACATTCACTAGCAGGCCCACAAAGTCCTTGAGAAACAAACATTTCGATCATTTCTAAATTCACTCCTGCTCCTGAAAGAAAAATAAAAGCTTAATTTTTTTCTCTCCATTTTGTCTGAGTCACGCATATTTTTCCTTTTTTTTTTTTTTCTTTTTTTAACCATACTAAATTATCTCTTGAAAAGAAAAGTGAGAGTACTAATTTTCTAATTATCTGGCAAGGGGTGACAGACAGGAGAGTTTGCTCTTGCTGCATTCCTTGGTGTCCCCTGGCTTCCTTTCTCAGTGTCACCCTAGTCAGGGAGAAGCCTCTAGTCTCTATAGAGAACTTTCTCTGTAGGGAATTTCACAGAGAATGTACAAAAATAATTACCAGGTCTTCGGGCATATGAGCCTTCTCCCTACCCAAATCCATCTCAAAATAAACAAATCAATAAAAGAATCTTCCCCAAAAAATGGAGTTTATATTAGTGATGAAACACAAGAGACCAAAGACATAAAATAATGGCTGGTACTACCTCCCAATGATGAAGCAAAGTCACTCAAAGCATCACATAGCAAAGATACAAATTCTACATCATAAGAAGTCACGGACAATCTGAGTTTGGTTACTTGAGCATTAATTTAAATTTTAATTGATTACTATCATCGCCCTGCTACATATTTATCAGTATTCACTGATGGCAATATACTGCATTCCTTTTAGGAAACAGGATTTTATAATTATTTTCAGGATCAATGGAAGTTAATTACATATTCAGAATTTATGAATTCCTGTAAGATTTCAGGATCTAGTATATCATATCTACACTAATAAAATGTTCCCTACAAAACCACTCATCTTTCATACACACATGTGTAAGCACTATGCCAAGTAGAACTATACAGTAACACAACTTTTGGAAGGACTTCATGACAGCAGAACACAGGCCTGTGGTCCAGGACTCAGGGCTGGTCTCAGAGAGAGGCTCCAGCACCAGCTGAAAAACAAAAAGTTGGAGTTGACCTATAGAAGAGATGATGGTAGAGGGTCAACTCACCACGGGAAAACAAGGTCAGCCACCGTCAGTCCTGCAGAATAGCACAAGAACAAACAGTAAGGAAAGGACCTGAAGATATAAATACTTCCTGAATCTAGAATGGACGTGATTATGTGCTGACACAGAAAGTAAACTCATGTAGAGAGTAACACACACACACTCCCTCAAGACTCTGCAACCCATCACTACACCTGGCTGGGCATTTCCTGTGAACGTAACTAGACACAGGAGAACCAAACTAGACATGTGTAGAAAAGTCATTATATTTAAGCAGTGCTATTCACAATCCATGCTTGAACCAACTACAAGCCAGATTTATAGCTATCACTCAGCATCACTCAGGCCAACTCCAGTTCAATCCCACCCCAAGAAGGACCATAAATCTGAGAAGACAGAACCCCCAAGAATATGGTGACTGTAATAAAATGTGTATCTAGAATATGACAATGATCATTTACAACCAATGCAGAGTCCCACAATCCCACAGTCAAAACTTTTAGAGTCTATGTGTTGCTACAGTGAAGCACAACAGATTCACACACACGAGAGGAAGAAAAAACTAAAGGGCTCACAGAATAATCTAAAGGTCATTCTATGGGGCAGGAGCTCAGTGGCTCAGAGGATGCTGGTGGGGCCTCGCCCTACAGCTCCTGGGGAGAGGTCAAGTGATTCTCTTCCCTCCAGTTCTCTGAATGGACCTGCATAAGCAATGCTACCTTTAGGAAATGTCTTACCATTCCAACTCGCATGCTTGAAGTACCAGTATTTTCCTCCTCCGTAATTGACGAAGACCATGAGTATGAGAGATAGCCTATAAAGCCCACAGAGAGAATCCTTTCAGGGTTTGCAACATGACAAGGAAGGGCCGAACTGCAAGACATACATTTCAACTCGCAAGGTGCAGTCATGCAGTAAGGCAATTCTGCTGAGCACTTCGGGACACAAGATGAGCTATAAAGAGCAAGAAACTATCATTTTCTTATCACTACATTTAGGACCATACACTAAAGTCCTTCTGTTGCCATCATTTCCAACACGATGTCTTAAGAAAAATTTACACTGTACTGCTAAACTATGTACCTTGAAAACAGAGCAAAACACTTCCGGTAACTCAATTCTGTGCTAATTCTTTATACATCAGGTTAAAGAACTGTCACAGAAGGCACATAGTCATTAGAGTCAGAGAGTTAAAGATCCACATCTTGGACCCTTCTCTCTTATTAGCCATAAAAGCTTGGGCAAGATTCTCATCAGTTAACTCAGCGTACTCATCTGTAAGAGAGAAAATATGCTGACCGCATGTGACTATTGAGGAAAATAATGTATACAGCACCCAACCAGTGCTTGGCACATTGTAGGCACTTAATAAACACTACTTCCTGTCTATCTGTGAACAGCTTATCTCCAACAGTAGCAATGACAATAAGAAAGAGGAATACAAAATAGGTTCTGTATACTCTACTGTTTGATGTTAACTGTGTAAGATGCTGGGCTAAAGACTTCAGTGTGTTATCGGAATGGTCTGTGGGGACCCTGTAACCCAACTGCCTGGAACTGAATCTTGGTTTTCCTATTTAGTACCTGAGCGACCCTGGACAAATTACTTAGCCCAAGCAGCTCAATTTCCTCATCTGTGAGATAGGCACATTAGAAAGATATACCCCATAGGATTGTTAAGAGATTGAATAAACCACGATAAGTTGGAGCAGTGAGCTGCACATAGTGAGAACTCCAAAACTGTTAGCAGTTTTTATTATTATCACTATTATTATTACCACCAAATATACCCACCGGGAGCACACAGGGCCCTCGTGAGGCTCGGACAGAACTGCGGGGTTAGCACTGGCGTTTGGAAGGCCTCGGTAGGTAGAAATGAAAGACCTGATACCTATAGATTTATTTTTAGTTATATCATTTTTGTACTTTATTTTCAGCATTTTGGCCTGGCCTTTGTTCTTCTACCAGGGCTATGGCTTTGCTATCAAAAGGGCCTGAAATTTGAGTTTCTTTGCCAGCCACGAAGGATAAGCCCTTCCTCTTCCACAGGCTGGTGTTTCATTTCTAGATTGGTGCTTCTTCTAAGTTGTCAAGCTCCTGACTGGATGTGGGGGTACAGTCTGTAGCCCCATGTAACGGCCACTTGTCCACACGCAAATGACCTTAACTCAGCCGACCGCACGTCCCCGGGGACAGTGGCTCTGCCCCATTCACTGCGCCTCTCTCTCAACATATCATGCTGCCTGTGATCACGGCTTTCAACATCAGACAGGCTGCTGGCTTTATTTTTGCATCCGAAAGATACTTTCTAGCCTAGAGAGTGAAAAGTACGTAAAATACCTTCAGTTAAAAGTGTGTTTGTGTGTAATTATGTAATCCCACAACTACCTGTGCCCATGGTGTTAGGAGGGAACCCACGTACCCTCTGAATGTGTCCACACAGCGGAGGCGCGGTGGAGGGGTGGACGGGTGCCATGTGGCTGGCTGGATGTCGCCGCCAAGAGGGTCTGCCCTGCTTGGAGATCCCAGCTCCTTCAGAAAAAAGGAAGAAAGAGATGGCAATTCATAATGTTAAGGAGTAAATCTGATTTTTAGACTTTTTAAGGAAGAAACTGACAGAGTAGAAAGCTACAGACAGTTCTTCTGAACAAGACTTTAACTTGCTTGTGTAAAGATCCCATCTGGAGGTTTAGTTTTCCACTTTACTGGCTTTTTGTGCCTTTTTCTGAGCTTGCCAGTGGCTGTGTTGACAAATCACACAAAGAATTGGACCATGAGTGCATCTAGCACAAGTGTAGAAGCAAATACATCCATGAATGAGACTAGATTTATTAATACAAACTTCGTGTTATGTTTAATCATTACAGTAGGCCATCAGCATTTATAGATTTAATACTGATGTCTCTTATTCCTTTGTTTTCATCATGACACGCTCTACCTAACTGGACTGATTCAATAGCGCTGCCTGCAGAGTGGAAAACATCCCCACATCATATAATGTAACACAGCCTGGAGTACCAACTTCACCACAGAAAGAGAAGGGGATGCAGTCCTTCACAGGTGCTGAAGAGAGGGCTGCTCTTTATTAGGAATAAGGACCCATAACCTAAGTAAGATTTATTAAACCAGAGGGCAGTGATTTTTCTTTGAGACAGGATCTTACTGTGCTGCCCAGGCTGGGGCCTCAAACTCCTAGGCTCAAGTCATCTGCCCACCTCAGCCCCGCAAGCAGCTGGAACTACAGACAGGCCAGCTCAGACAAGTAGGAAATCACACTTTCCAAATTTAGAAAACCGCCCACACAGTGCAGGACACATTGTAATAACTCACAGAATTGATGAGGTGATCTGTTTCTTGAGAATTTATTGCCTTAGAAATCCAATTATTAAAGTCGTCCAAACTGTAAATAAATAAAAATCTCAGTTAATTTATTTTCTCTGGCCAGAATTTTCAAAATGATTGGATACCACATTGAAATCAAATTAACTTAAGATTCATATTCTATATTAGTTAAGGAATTAAACATTCTGAAAAGTTTTTTAACCTCTGGTTGTATCAAAGGTATAGGTAGAAAACAAAATTTAAAAACAAAAAACAAAAATAAGTAAGTTTTTTAACAACATAAAAATAGAAATCAAAGATTTTAGCAGCTGTACTTATAAATGCTTCGCCCTTACAGCATAGTTTCCTCATCAATAAAACAGCAACGATGATAGAGCGTTCATTAAAGCGTGTGAAGGTTAATTTAGATCATTATTCTCTATAGCTCAGATTCTTATTAATAAAACTATTAAAATTAAAATAGGAAAAAGTTGGAAACAACCAAATTCACTCAACTCACAAATGACTAAACATCAGTATGACAGCTGTGTGACAGGATGAGATACAGCTATGAAAATAACAAGAATGTGGGCTCTGTCCATACAAGGAAATACAAAGATAAACTACTGAATACAAAAAGCAAAAACTCAACATCTACAATGACAATTAATCGAAAATGCATGCATGCCCACTGAGAAAATTTGAAAGCAACTTCGAAGTGAATCAAATAGTTAATAGGTTGGGATTTTTTTTTTATAAATATGGTTGCCTTAATTAAAATAGATATCCAGATGACATTAAAATGATTGACATGATTAACCACAGATAAATATATTATTTAATAACTGGTTTTTCTTTAAAATGAGATTTCTATTTGGGAAATCTTTCAAAAAGTATACCTTACGACAAAAACAAAACCACCTATATGTTTTACATTAACTTTGCCACATCTGAATTATCCAATGCATCAAACTTTTTTCTTTATTCTTTCCTGTTTTTTATTATTTGGTCATAAAAAGTTTCAAGCATATACAAAAGAAGAGAGAGAAACTAGTACAGGCATATCTCAAGATATTGTAGGTACAGATCCAGACCACCCCATGAAAGCAAATATAACCATAAAGCAAGTCACACAAAATTTTTGGTTTCCCAGTGCATATAAAAGTTATGTTTATACTACACCATAGTCTATCAAGTGTGCGATGACATTATGTCTAAAAAAGACAATGTATACACCTTAATTTAAAAATATCTTACTGCTAAAATATGCCAATGCTCACCTGAGCCTTCAGTGAGCTCTAACCTTTTTGCTGGTGGAGGGTCTGGCCTCGATGGCTGCGGACGGATCAGGGCATTGGACGTTGAAGGCTGGGGTGGCTGTGCCAATTTCTTAAAATAGGACAAGGAAGTCGCCTCATTGACTGGCTCTTCCTTTCATGAAGGATTTCCCTGTAGCAGGTGATGCTGTTTGACAGCACTTTACCCACAGCAGAACTTCTTTCAAAACTGGAATCAGTCCTCTCGAACGCTGCCACTGCTTTATCAACTAAGTTTACAGTAATATTCTAAATCCTTTCCTGTCACTTCAATGTTTATGGCATCTTAACCAGGAGTAGATTCCATCTCCAGAAACAATCTGCTTTGCTCATCCCTAAGAAGCAACTCCTCATCCACTCAAATCGTATCACGAGACCGCAGCAATTCAGTCCTATCTCCACACTCCGTTTCTACTTCTAGTTCTCTTGCTGCTTCCACCACAGCTGCAGTGACTTCCTCCACCAAAGTCATGAACCTCTCAAAGTCATCCATGAGGGTGCGAATCAACATTTTCCACATTGCTATTTGGAATGTTGATATTTTGACCTCTTTCCATGAATCATGAATATTTTTAATCGCATTAAGAATGGTGACTCCTTTCCAGAAGTTTTTCAATTTACTTTGCCCAGAACCGTCAGAGGAGTCACTATGAATGGCAGCTATAGGCTTACAAGTGCATTTCTTAATTAATAAGACTTGAAAGTCAAAATTACTCCTTGATCCATGGGCTATACAACGGATGTTGTTAGCAGGCATGAAAACAAGATTAATCTTCCTGTACATCTCCACCAGAGGTCTTGAGTGACCTGGTGCATTGTCAATGAGCAGTAATATTTTGAAAGGAAACTTTTTCTGAGCACTAGTTGTCAACAGCAGGCTTAAAGTCATCAGTAAACCATGCTCTAAACAGACGTGCTGTCATCCAGATCTTGTGGTTCCATTAATTGAGCACAGGCAGAGTAGAGTTAGCATAATTCTTAAGGGCATCTTCTTCCAATAGAAGGCTATTTCAACTACATTGAAAATCTATTGCTGAGTGTAACCACCTTCATCAATGATCTTAGTTAGAGTTTCTGGATAATTTGCTGCAGCTTCTACATCAGCACTTGGCGTCACCTTGCACTTCTATGGTATGAGACAGCTTCTTTCCTTAGACCTCATGAACCAACCTCTGATAGTTTCCAACTTTTCTTCTGTAGCTGCCCCACCTCTCTCAGTCTTCATAAAACTAAAGAGAGTTAGGTCTTTGCTCTGGATTAGGCGTCAGCTTAAGGGAATGTTATGGCTGGTTTCATCTTCCATCCAGACCACTCACACTTTCTCCTTACCAGCAATAATGCTGTTTCACTTTCTTATCATTCATATGTCCATTGGAGTAGCACTTTTAATTTGCTTCAAGAACTTTTCCTTTGCATTCACAACTTGGCTAATTGTTTGGTGCAAGAGACTTAGCTTTCAGCCTATCTTAGCTTTCTGCTTTCAACATGCCTTCCTAACTAAGCTTAATTATTTCTAGGTTTTGATTTAAAGTAAGAGACACATAGCTCTTTCTTTCATCTGAACACTTAGAGGCCATTACAGTGTTATTAACTGGCCTAATTTCAATATTGCTGTGTCTCAGAAAATAGGGAGGCCAGAAGAAAGGGAGAAAGACAGGGGGACAGCTGGTCACTGGGGCACTCAGAACACACACACCATTTTTGATTAAGTTCACCATCTCCTATGGGTGCAGTTCATAGCAGCCCCAAACAATTAGAATAGTAACGTCAAAGATCACTGATCAACATAACAGATATAATAATATGAAAAAGGTTGACATGTCGTGAGGATTACCAAAACGTGACACAGAGACATGAAATGAGCAGCACAAGCTGTTGGAAAAATGGCGCTGACAGATTTGCTCAACACAGGGTTGCCACAAACCTTCAGTTTGTTAAAAACACGGCATCTGCCAGGTGCAATAAAATGAGGTGTGCCTGCACAATGAACTCCGCTTCTCAGCTTCGGCAAGTACACACGGCCGGCCCTACTTCAGCTACGCTCCCACCTAGCCCTTCCCTCCTGCTTTGAATTGATTGTTTTGTAGATCCCAGACATCATATCATTTCATCCATAAGTACTTCAGAATGTATCGTCAAAAGATAAGAACTATTTTTATTTCTAAATGTAATCACAAAACCATTATCACACTTAAAAACGTTAGCAACAATACCTCAATATCATCACATAGCCAGTTCGGTTTCCCTGTCTATAAAATTTGTTTACAGTTGTTCAATTCAGTATCCAAACATAACCCACACACCCATTTCTAGTTTATTCAGCATTGATAATGTCATCGTTGCATGAAAAATATCAGAACAGACACATCTAAGGAAGGGAGAAGTTAAGATATTAAAAAATAAAACAAAACAAAAAATACCTAATTCTCCTGTGCATGCTTGTTCTCCAAAAGAAAAGGAGAGAGATTCTTTATCCTCTCTACTTTTTCTGGCTCTTTTCTGGTTCAGACTAATCTGAACTTCCCTGGACTTTCATGGGTACGCTGGGAAGCGAAGGGGCCGGGAATAAGGGACTCGGGGACTCGCTTTGCCAACAGCAGCCTCCTGCCCACAGGATGGAAAAGCAGGATCCCATGCAAAGGAGGAGCTTCACTTCCACAGCAGAGCAAGATGGAATTTCTCCTGTGCAAGTGCGGGACCTTGGCTATCAAGTACTTTTAAAAGTGACGTAACAGGTCCATTCACGTGAAAAGAACCATAGCACCAAAGATACTGAGATAGTATTTGCATCTTATGAAAAGATTGACAAGCTAATACCTTAATTCAAAGAAATGAAACTCCTCTGCTAGAATCCTATTCTGCCCCTAAAAAGCAGTTGGGTTAAACACCTGCTCCTAAGCCGCTAATAGTTCTTTTATATTTATATACAGTTGGATTCCTTAGACAGGGAATTAAACCATCTCTAAGATGCACAAGGAATCTTGTGCATCTGATGTGGCATCTAAGATGTCAGAGTGAACAAACTCCCCTAAGTTTCAGGGTTCCCCCAACCTGGCCAATTTAAAGATTGGGCTTCCATTCTTCCAATCTGGATACAACTCACCAATAAAATCTGTGGTCCTTCCTGAGACCCTAACAGGATGAGCACATGAAAATTCAAGATATCTTATTCCTCTTAAACATGAAAAAATTTTCCTTTGAAAACTGATTAAAGCCGGCCTAGATCTATTTTACTTTTTTTTTTATAATCCAGTAATTCACACTTACCAGAATCACTGTTAACCAGGAAGAGCAGAACGAATCCCCTCTCTACACTGGCTAACTCACTCTAACCACAGGAAAAGGAGTCCACACTGGGGCCCAGAGGCAGGATATCCAGGCATCCACCTCTGCCACCAGATCCCTGGGCTGGCAGGGAGGTAGAAGGTGGACTAGCACGTGCCCCAGGGCCCAGGGCCGGAGAGGAGGAGGAGGGCCTGGTGTGACAGCCTCCTCCTAATGCTAGAATAAGCCACTTCCACTCGCTGAGGAACGGGATGTGAGATTCTTTAGGAAATAATTATTTCTCAAGCATTGTCCTCATTTTCAGCCACATGGGGGATGGAAGGCAAAAGTCCATTAGAACCTTCATTATTAGTAATTTTCCTGAAATCAAAAACCGTATCTTCATCTATATTGAACCGATGCCCAGGACTGGACTGGACATGGTGGATACATAAATGTGCATTTAATCAAAGAATAATGGCCATCTGAGGGATCACAACTACTGTTTCTGAAGGTATTATTTCTATATTCTACCTTCCCCAGCTGTGTCTCCTTGAACATCTTACCTAAACAAGAGCCTCAGAAGGGACAGCGCAATGATGAGTGCTAGACCAATGAGGAATGCAACACTCACAGCTACAGAAAGAAAAGAAAAAACATTATCACCAAAACTCATCACAAACATCAAAGTTGTCACATCATTACATTTAATGTATACGTGAAAATGAAATCAAACAAAAATGAAAACAATGAGGGAAAAGCCATTATCCTTATGTTAAATGTCCTCTACACAACTAAGAACACCACTCATCATGGGGGGGTATTAATTTTCATTGTGAAAAATATCAAACCTACACAAAAGTACAGAGAACTGTATAATAAAACCACACACACCCATCACCCAGATTTCAGAATTATCAAGACATTGTCACTCTTGCCTCATCTATAACTATCCTCCCTCCCCGTTTTTAGCTAAAGAATTTTAAAACACATTCCAAACATCATGTGATTTCGTCCCCTCATACTTTAGCATGTGTCTCTAAAGCATGCGGCCCTTGTCAAAGACATTTTGACATCATGCGCCTGCAGACATGACGCACTGAGGACGACACAGGGTCGTTTCTGCAGCATTCCACCAGAACATGCAGAACTTGTGCCCAGTCATGAGAAAACATCAAGCCAGTCCAAGTCAATGGACAACCCAAAAAATAGCCAACACTCTTCAAAACTGTCAAGATCATGAAAGACAAAGCCAGACTAGGGAAGTGTCCTAGATTGGAGGAGACACAGGAGATCTGACAACAAAATGCAGCATGGGATCCTAGAGTGAATCCTGGACCAGAAAAAAGACATTAAAAGGGACAACTGGGGAAATTTAAGTAAGTCTGTAGATGAGTATTGCATCGATGTTAAGTTCAGAAGAATGCTGAGTTCCTGGTTTCCATAATTGTGCATGGGACAATTTTATGACTACACAGTTCAGGGGTTTAGGGGAAGCTAGGGAAAGGGTATCGGGAACTCTTTTTGCAACGTTTCTGTAAGTCTGTTTCAAAATTAAGTTTCTTGGCCGGGCGCGGTGGCTCACACCTGTAATCTTAGCACTCTGGGAGGCCGAGGCGGGCGGACTGTTTGAGCTCAGGAGTTCGAAACCAGCCTGAGCAAGAGCGAGACCCCGTCTCTACTAAAAATACAAAGAAATTAATCGGACAACTAAAAATATATAGAAAAAATTAGCCAGGCATGGTGGCACGTGCCTGTAATCCCAGCTACTCGGGAGGCTGAGGCAGAAGGATCACTTGAGCCCAGGAGTTTGAGGTTGCTGTGAGCTAGGCTGACGCCATGGCACTCACTCTAGCCCGGGCAACACAGTGAGACTCTGTCTCAAAAAAAAAAAAAAAAAAATTAAGTTTCTTAAAAATGGACCTTTTGTTATGTAACCACACTGTCACATAAAATTCACAACAATCTCCTGGCTAACAGTGAGGAGGCACCTTCTGCCATTGACCATGTGACTGACGGACGTGCGGCTCGTAAAAGCCTGACCCCTCCAGGGTAAAGTTCCCCTTTCATCGGATGCTGTCTCCACTCACGGTTTTGCCTGAATCAATGATTTCATTAGGTGTTGCAAATATCCTCCCATTCTGCCCATTATTAGCTGGAATTCTTCTCTACAGAATTTACCCTCATTAACCAGGACTGGTTGGTTACCCCGAATTACAGTTAAAACAAAAAGGCAGGATAAATGCTTAAATCTGTTACCTCCAAAGACAACCAAAGTATTGCTTTCATTTCTGTTTTTGGTTGGGATGGGGGGCCTTGCTCTTTTTAGTTTCATAAGGACATCATGGTTTTTACATATTCATTATTTTCCACCAATTACACATTCTTTTTAATGCCTAAATTGTTCACACTGGCCCTTTCACACTGGCTCCTACGTTCTTTTGACATAACCTCGCAGTCGTCAACAGCTTCCCCGTGAACGGTACCTATTAATGCCCAGAAGTTCCTTACTGCCTTTTGAAAGGCAGCACCTGCTACATTATCTGACGGGGAGCTCAGAACAAAGGATTTTCTTCAGTGGAGTTATTAGAGAATGAATGATCCCTCCTTAAGCTAAGGGGACCCCTGGATGGTCAGCAAGAGACACACAGGAAACGCTACACCCTAAACCCTAAAACGAGGAACAATATTTGGCAATTTCTAGTTTCTATTTCAAGTTTCTCTTTCCACTACATTAACTTTTTTGGTTTATCAATGCTTCATAATTAAACTAAATAACAACTATGAGGATATGTTGATATATCCTATGATTTTAATATATGACATAATTTTATTGGTACAAATGGCCACAATAAGTATATTATAAATAGACCATAACTAAATGGAATCTGTAACCTATAATCTGGGTTTTTAAATTACAGAAAATGTCATGGACTGCTTCACTTTACAAACAGTATCCCAAAACGGAAGCCTTTAAAAATACAGATGTGAAAAATCAGCAAAGAGCGATACGTACGAAGATCACTATCAACTGGATTCTCGTTGACGACTAGGTCACAGGCGACCTCATGGACTCCGTTATGGACGTGCTTCACCAAAAGAGAATAGTTTCCAAACTCTCCAAATTTGTATTGCAGCCTACGAAGATTAGAAAAATTAAGACAAATGGTTGGATTAGGAAATAAGGAGTTGGATTTTGCTAATGTCATAAAGGCGGAATGATATGTGTTCCTGGGTGCAGCCCAGAAAAGATAAAGAAAAATATTTTAAAGGGACAAAAAGCTAAAAACTGAACAGAAAAAAAAGTAGACAGTAAACGCAGACTTCAGTTAGGTCACACCAAAGCAGGCACAAACCTACAAATTTCTTTCTCTGCCAGGGTGTCGTTCAGCTGCAGGATGGAGCCGTGCTGGGTGCTGACAGAGACGGCTGCCATGCCGGGCCCCCCAGGTCCTCCCCTCGGAGAGACGCTGACCAGCACCTGAAACAAGCACTGTAAAATAAAAGCGCAACAGATAAACTGTTGGGGGTTGTTGAATATCTTTGCTTATTGGAGGACATAAATACCCAATTAAAAACCCTAACATGACTTTTCCTTCATACTTAAAAAACAAACTTAGAAATTCCAGTAACTTAGACAAAATTTGCCTATTATTTTATATTGAAACAATGTCGCTATGGATTTATATAATCTTCATAAGTAAATTTTTCACAAATTAATAGATCATTCATTAAATCTAAGTTTTATTTAATATTATTTAACACATAAGTTTCCATGATTATTCCTAATTTGCATATTTATAATGTTTAGTGGCTGCATTACATTCCATCTAATATGATCATTGGGAGTATTGAGGCTGATTTCGAAGATTTTTTGTTTTATCTTTTTATTGTTTTTTGTTATATAAATTATATTGTTTTAAAAGATCTACATATGAGGTTCTTATTCCTTTAAATTCTTTTCCCAAGGAAAATTTCCAAAAGTGAAATTATTGGATAAAAAATAATCATTTTAATAGTTCCTATTACAAGTGGCCAAATAGTACTCAAATAAGTAAAATTAAAACAATATATTAATTTCTCATTAGTCTTACCAAGATTTTAAAATCCTTTTTCTTTTTATTCATTTACTAGATATTTATATCATAGCATTAAGATTACATTTTAAATTATCAACAGATGAAATAATTCAATAATTTTGCTATTCTGTTTCCCATAGTGTGAACAATTAGATATCAACTTCTCTTGAACATAATCTTAGAAATGTGTCCTCACATGCTGAAATATTAAACTTTTAACTGTATCAAATATTTCTCCATTCTAGTACATTCCTTTTCATCTTGTTAAATTTTGTTGTTTTTAGTTACAAGTTTTTATACCTTTATATAGTCATACTAATCTGGCTTGTTATTTCTTCTATTGCTTTATTACTTCAAAAATGTACTCTGCTAACAGAGTGGCTGAATGGATTAAAAAACAATACCCAACTATATGCTGCCTACAAGAGACTCACTCCACCTATAAGGACACACAGAGATTGAAAGTGAAGGGATGGAAGAAGATATTGCATGCAAATGGAAACAAAAAAGGAACAGGAATAGCTATACTAATACCAGATAAAATAGACTTTAAGCCAAAAACTGTAAAAAACAGAGACAAAGAAGGCCATTATATAATAATAAAGCAATTATTAATAATAATAAATCAATATAGCATGAAGATATAACAATTATAAATATATATGCAACCAGCATTGGAGTACCTAAATACATAAAGCAAGTATTAATACACCTAAAGGGGCCAGGCACAGTGATGCACTTCTATAATTCCAGCTACACAGGAGAATCAATTGAGCCCAGGAATTTGAGACCAGCCTGGGCAACATAGTGAGACCCCAGTTCAAAAGATGAAAAACTGACCTAAAGGGAGAGATAGACAGCAGTACAATAATAGTAGGAAACTTCAACATCCCACTTCCAGAAATGGACAGATCATCCAGGCATAAAAATCAACAGTTAAACCACACTCTACACCAAATGGAGCTAACGGACATTTACAGAACATTCCATCCAACACCACCACAATATGTATTACCTCAACAGCCCATGGAACACTCTCCAACATAGATCATATGTTAGGCCACAAAACAAGTCTTAACAAATTTTTTTTTTTTTTGAGACAGAGTCTCAGTCTGCTGCCCAGGCTAGAGTGCCGTGGCATTAGCCTAGCTCACAGCAACCTCAAACTCCCGGGCTCAAGCCATCCTCCTGCCCCAGCCTCCCGAGTAGCTGGGACTACAGGCATGCGCCACCATGCCCGGCTAATTTTTTCTATGTATTTTTAGTTGTCCGATTAATTTCTTTCTATTTTTAGTAGAGACGGGGTCTCGCTCTTGCTCAGGCTGGTCTCGAACTCCTGAGCTCCAGCAATCCGCCCGCCTCGGCCTCCCAGAGAGCTAGGATTACAGGCGTGAGCCACCGCGCCCGGCCTGTTACTGATTTCTAGTTTCATTCCATTATGGTCAGAAAAGATATTTGATATGATCTTGATTTTTAAAAATTTGTTAAGGCAGGGCGTGGTGGCTCACGCCTGTAATCCTAGCTCTCTGGGAGGCCGAGGCGGGCGGATTGCTGGAGCTCAGGAGTTCGAGACCAGCCTGAGCAAGAGCGAGACCCCGTCTCTACTAAAAATAGAAAGAAATTAATCGGACAACTAAAAATACATAGAAAAAATTAGCCGGGCATGGTGGCGCATGCCTGTAGTCCCAGCTACTCGGGAGGCTGGGGCAGGAGGATGGCTTGAGCCCGGGAGTTTGAGGTTGCTGTGAGCTAGGCTAATGCCACGGCACTCTAGCCTGGGCAGCAGACTGAGACTCTGTCTCAAAAAAAAAAAACAAAACAAAAAACTAAATATATAACAGCAATCCCACGGTAGTATTTATCCAAAGGAAAGGAAATCAGTGTATCAAAGAGATACCCACACTCTTCAGGAAAACATTGCAGAGGAAAAAAAAGAGACACCTGCACCCCAATGTTCACTGCAGCACTATTCACAACAGCCAAAATATGGAATCAACCTGAGTGCCCATCAGTGGATGAATGGATAAATCCAGTGTAGTATATACATAATGGAATATTATTCAGCCACAAAAAGAAATAAAATCCTGTCATTTGAAGCAACATGGATAAGCCTAGTGGACATTATGTTAAGTGAAGTATGCCAGGCACAGAAAGATAAATGCCACATGGTCTCACTCACGTGCAATCTAAAGAAGGTGCTCTCCTAGAAGTGGAGAGCAGAACAGTGATCACCAGAAGGTAGGGCCGTCAGCAGGAAGGGGAGATAGGAGGTTGCTCTGCTGCAGGATGAGAAGGGGAAGCCTTCTCCTAATGACTGACCCAGGGACCAAGCGAGGGAGAAGATGAGCGTTTCTTCACCGGTGAGGCTCAGAGGACAGGGTCCAAATTCTGAGCCCCGAACACAGAGTATAAAAGTCTTTTATGCATTTTTAGGAAGGGTGAGGGGCAGTTACAACATTGTTATCTCTACTCCTCGCCGGGGCAGGGTCCTGAGCAGGCAGTGGTCAGGCATTATGTCTGCCTTGAGTTCTTATCTTTTTGGTGCCGGCCTGCTCTTTGTAAGCAAGTAAGTTACAGAAGTTATAAAGTAAGTTAGCAGTTTTACAATCTAGATCCGTTAGTAGTTTTTACAAATTTACACCTTTTGTCCCTGGTACAGAGTTCCCACAGAATTTCTTCCTGTTTTACAGGGGCCAGGGACCCCTACCACAGGTCTACAGGAAGAAAGTGGCAGATCGGAGGAATAAGTTCTGGTGTTCGATTGTACAGTAGAGTGACTACAATTAACAATAATACATTGTGTATTTTATAATAGCCACAAGAGAAGATTTTAAATGATCTCACCACAGAGAAATGACAAGTGTTTGAGGTGATGAATATACTAATTTACACAGTGTATATATGCAGCAAAACATCACACTGTACCCCATAAATATGTACAATTATTGTCAATTAAAAACCAACTAAAACTTTTAAAAATGTACCCTGCCTTTCATAGTATTTTTTTAGGCCGTGGGTTTTATTTTTTAACTTGAATCCTCTTGGAGTATTTGATAGATGGTATATAGTAACTGCAAAAGCCCTTCCCCGTCCTCTTAGCTATCACACTTTAGGTTCTTACGTAAATTGGATTCCACTTCTTACGCTTACTTTGGTCTGTTGGCTACGTGAGCAATTATGGCTTCATAATGTATCTTACATCTAAGACAGCAAGTCTCCATATTGCCCATTCTCCTTTTGTCCTTTCAGGCCACCTTTTGATCCTCTTACTCATTTACTTTTTTATATGAATTTTTTTTTTTCAGAGACAGGCTCTCACTCTGTTCCCCAGGCTGCAGTACAGTGGCAAGACCACAGCTCACTGCAGCCTCAAACCCCTTGGCTCAAGTGATCTTCCTGCCTCAGCCTCCTGAATAGCTGGGACTACAGGAACAGCCGCCACCATGCCCGGCTAATTTTTTATTTTATTTTTTTGTAGAGATAGGGTCTCTCCAGACTGGTCTTGAACTCCTGCCTCAAGCCATCCTCCCACCTCGGCCTCCCAAAGCGCTGGGCTCACAGTCCCCGCCCCTTCTCCACAATTCTGTAACAGGTGCTCTCAGCACTGGCTCAGGCCTTCATCTGTGAAGTCGGGGAGTGACACCAGCCCTGCTTTCCCTTCAGGGTTTTTCTTAAGCGTCCAACGAGACAACAGTGGGTATCCTGCCAGCCTCGTATCGTCCTCATGGATATTCGTCCAGATCCCATATGGGCCTCCTCCTCTGCTGGGAAGACTTTCTTCCACTCTGTCCCACAATTTCTCTTCTCTGACTTCCATATTTCTGTTCTTATTTTCACCACACCCTTTTATATTGCTTCTAATATTCTCAAAGATTGGTAAGAAAGCAGGAGTGTTTAACATGCCCGCCGCATCTGCTGAACATGGTGCTGGTACATGGTTCTAAGAACATGACAAGGATCTAGACGACAATGACAGTTCCAGAATTTCCAAGTAGTGGTGCTTCCAGGTGTCAATCTGTGTTAATAGATTACAACAGTTCACTGGACCATAATTATTTTGATTTCAGTTGAGAGAGAGAGAGAGATATATATATCCTAATTTCTAATTTTAATTTCCATTGTTCCCTTAAATTTATCAATTCTGTCACTTTTATTTTAAAAATCATCTCTTGAATCATTCTTACTTCAATTCCCAGTTTACATATTTATTATTTTTACTGCTTCTTTTTTTCTTTTGTTTGGATGATTACACTGTTGGCTTTCCAAAATCTCGAGATCCTTACTCAGTTATTTTGCATTTCTCCTTTTCTTTCTTATTAACATAAAGTAGGATCCTGATTCTAACATTGCCACTTAACAGCCGGATAACCCAGAAAAAAGCTACTTTATTTCTCTTAGTTTTAGTATCACACCCCAAATCCTCTCTATTGGATTATCCTCTCTACTGGATACATCTTCTCTACTGGCCTGGTGTGAGGATTAAATGAGATATATTACAGCACACTGAAGACACAGAGCAAGCTCTCAGTAAACAGTAGCTGCAACTTCTGTTATCATCATTTTTATTATTAGAAACATTAAAATAAAAATTTCTGTAAGAATTGCTTTGGCCTGGTCTAAAGATTTTTCTATGAAATACTCCATGTTTGTATTATACCCCTTATTGCATTAGTTTGGTTTCTGCTCTGCAGAGGTATGAGATATAGAATGCATAATCTCTACTTTTTATATTTATTTAATCCCTTTTGACCAAACACCTGATCGATGTTTCTATAAAATATTAATGCACATATTTCTGAAGTTATCTAGTTTTTCTATTTAACTCCTGCCATAAGTGTGATGTATGTTTATTGCCAATGATACTGACACGCACAGAGGCAGATCTTACTCTGCTTCAGACAGCTCCATACGCTCAGTCACTAAATGCTCACAAGGGACTGAGAGGAGCTCCATTATTTTCCCAGCTTCACAGGCAAAGAAACTGAGGCACAGAAAAGGTAATTATCATACCCAAAGACACACAGGTAGGAAGTGACAGAGCCAGGATCTGAATCAGGCACTCTGGCTGTAGAATGCTCTTAATCACTTTACGCCCCGTTTCGTTTGGCTAAATTCACCAGTTCTATTATCAAACCTTAACCTACTTACCCTATCATAGTCTGATAAGAGTATATTACCATTTGTCTCCATAACTTTGTTTGTAGTTTCTACCATTATTTTCTATGTATTTTGGGGAACCACATAAATCTGGAGTCTTTTATTTAGGGTGTTTATATTTTGGTATTAATATTTCTTTATCGTTTATGCAAATGATAAAGCTTGACTGGTCCCTTTTATTTTAACATCTACTTCATCAAAAAGTATCACTAACAGGCTGGGCATGGCGGCTCATGCCTGTAGTCCCAGCACTTTAGGAGGCCAAGGCCGGAGGATCCCTCAGGCCAGCAGTTTGAGGCTGCAGCAAGCTATGATGAAGCCACTGCACTCCAGCCTGGGAAACAGGGCAAGACCCTGTCACTAGAAAAAAAAAAAAAAGTTTAATTATCTGTGCCTTTTTGTTTTCAATGTATTCTTTATAAGTACAATAATATATTTTTGTTTTTAATACTTTACCAATGTATGTATGTGTAACTATCCTCTTTCCAAAAGCAATTTTAAATCATTCACAATATTTCTAACACAATCTGAGAGTGTTGTTTTCACAGAAGTTAGTCCATTGGCATTTGTTGCAATTAGTCTACACTTAATTACCATGAATTCCCTCCTCCATTTTTATTCTCTTTCTTCATTTATATATTTTTGATATTGCATCTTTTTTAGTAATATTTTAAAGATTCCATAACATCAACTATTATACTTGCCACACTTAGAACATGTCTACTTACAAAAATACTAAATGTCTTTATTTATTCTAATTTATGTTTGAAAATAATGAACAGTCAAAAGTACAGAGAGCCACTTTGGACCCCTGAATACGACAAAAGCACAGCATTTCTGGGTTTCTCTTCCACCTCCCATTTCTCCATTCTTCTCCCCACCTCAAGACCCCCTAAGGAAGGAATATTGCTCAGTATTGTGAAAAGCGATTTTCTCTTTCTTTTTTCTTTTTGTCAGTTAAGTCTTACTTTCATTTAGTCAATTATTACAATTACTCATAGTTAACAATACAGTAATAACCTTTCTCCAATTCTTGTTCTCTTTTCAAAAGAACTTGCTAACAAGTTATAATTGTTTTTAGCTGTCTTGAAGCTCTCCGTCAAGTTATGAAATCTGATTTACAAATGTTTTCTATGTTTATGGATGTATTAAAGTCTTTCTACTTTAAGGTGACAGGGATAAAGAGGAAAAGAGAAAGAAAATTCTCAACTCAGCCAGGTAGCTGGCCTCTAGGGAATCCCTTCATCTTTAAATATCTTAACCGTATTATACCACCCTCCCCAGATTTTTATTATATATTATGTATAAGTATATAATTTGCATTCTTTTGAATACTTGTCTCTCCTATAACCTATATTTGATTAAGGATTTTTAATCATCATTAAAGTTCAAAACTTAAAACAGTTAATGTCAAGATATCATTTCCTGGTTGTCTAACCTTTAAAGGGTCCATAAGCATCTTTCCAATTTCGAGCTAAAATATTTTTCGAAATTATGGGACATTTTCTACTACCACAATTAAATACGAACCCCGTACCACTCCTTTACATGTTTTCCTTAGACATAATAATCTCCACACCCTTTTAAATAAGTGAGCAATTTTTTTCTTGAAATAGTTGCATGTAGTTTATTCTTGTTTTTTTTATTTTTTAATCTGTCGCCAGCATCACTGTTCCATGCCAATGACTCTATCTTTTTATATTCTAATGATGCTCTTATTTGCCCTACATCTGATACCTTGACGACACAGTCTTTATCCCCCTCACCCTGTTTTGCTGCGGATTTAGATCTTTATTAAGTCTTTTTAGAAGACATTTTGTCCATTCTCTGAATTATCTGATTCCTGTCACTTTGTAATTTCAGCTATTGTTGATTTTGTTCAAAGTTTCTTTCAGGTTCTTCTTATAGGCTGATAAATCTTTTCTGTCTTGAGCTACTTTAATATAATAGATTTTTTTGTTTGTTTCACATTACTTTGCAGACTTTTCAATCAGTTTAATCAAATAGAGAAGGTATCATGTATTGCTGCACCATCTTTTCAGCTAGTGTCCACACGGGAAGTTTTTTGCTTGCTTTTTTAAAAGCTATTTACAGTAAACAGGTCACTCACTATACATTAAAATTCCTCCTCTGAAGGTACAATGAAGGTCTCAATATTAAGCAACAAGGTCCAGAATAGGAGCAAAAGCACCTGGTAACATGAATGCATGTTCTCAGAGGCAGGTCCCTGGAGTAACTGGCATGCCCTCAACATGCCC